AATTTAACAAATATGATATTATTTCATAGAATGTCGATTCACTTATGAAATCCTTTTCATCTTTTCTTCTAGATGGAATATGCTCGTTAAAAAATCGGCATATTTGCTAGTATTATCTATTTCTTCTTTGTTCCACATTGTATCCCAGAATTTTATCACTTCTTCTTTAAGAACGTTAGATTTTTGATTTCTGTTTTCTTCTTCGACATCTAAATAAAATTTATTTCTATATAGCTCAAATTTTCTATTTGTTTGTCTAAATTTCTGTCTTTTGCCATAGCAATTTAATTTCTTTTTATATATAGCTATGCTTTCTGAAATTATAGATTCTGTTATTTCCAAATCATCCTTTCTTATAAGTAATTTATTATATTTCTTCATTACTCTTCCTACTGCTCTGATAGCAGATTCTTCTTTAATACTTGTAGATTCCTTATAAGATTGCAATATAATGAGTTCTTTTGAATAGTTTTCTATTTTCTTTTCAATATTTGTAAACCATTCGGATTTCTTCTTTGTCCTTTGCGTGGTGCTTTGGTAAGTAGATTGTGCAGCTTGAAGGATGTATGCGACATCAGACAGATTTAAGGGTGGGAAAGTTTTTATGTATTCATCAATAGATTTGTCTATATATTCTAATATATCTCCATCAAGGGCACCTCTCGATATTTTATATGTTCTTGTAAACTCAGTTACTTTACAGTCTTTGGCTTTCCCTATTTCATTGTAAAATGTTTTCTTAGTTTAAAATACAGTTCTTGATTAAGTCCCAAAGCCTCTTCAAAATACTCTGAAATTCTTTTTGTTCTCTTTATATTTCTTTCAGATAAATAATTTTTATTACTCAGTAATTTACCTAGTTCATTCCTAAGATTACCCTAAGCTATTCGTTTAAACTCTTCTATTGATAATACTTCTTTATGTTTGATGCAAAATACTTCTGTAGCCATCTTCCAACCTCCTCTCGCCATTCTCTCAAACCTCTTAAGAGTATTCTTAAGAGCATCAGTCGGCCAGAATTCTTATCAAGATTGAATTGACAAATGTAAAGCCTTAAGGGCAGAGAACCTTTCACTCGTTTTCAACTCCACATTTACTTCATTATTGTGATTTTCTTCTGATTCCTTAGCATCTTTTTCATCTGTTTTTCGTTGATCATTGTTTTCTCCAGATTCTGCTTTTTTACCCTTCATTGACAAAAATAATACAAATAAATAAAACTTTACCATAATGTTACCGCTTACAAAGTTATTTTTTACAAATTTTAAAAAAGAAGGGTTTAAAAATAAATAAATATTTTGATTTACATTTTTTATAATATAGACAAGTTTAGTAGTTTTCTTCGGGCAAGGCAAAAATCTACAGTTTTATAAATTAAAATCATTTAATTAAACTTTTAACGCAGTTCTCTAAATTATCGGGGTCGTCAATATTTAATATTTGAAACATTTTCTCAGCTTCTACTTTATTAAAATAAACACGCCTTCCTCCTATGCTGTATCTAACGTCTGAATTGGTTAGTAATGCTATACTTTCAAATAATTGTGGCAATGTTTTTGACCCTGACGCAATTATAAATCGTAAATTTTCAAGTAAGATGCTATAAAAATCATATAACGTTATTTTATTCAGACATAAATATAAATCAGAAAACTTTCGTATATCATTAAAAAATTCA